GGTGGGGGGCGTGGGTAGGATCCGGGCCAGAATTTGTCGAGTGGGGGGTCCGAGAACAGAATTCGGTCGGGGTGAGAATGCCAGACCAGGGAGGGGCCAGGTGGGGGGCGTGGGTAGGTTCTGGGCCAGAATTTGTCGAGTGGGGGGCCCCAAGAACAGAGTGCTCTCGGGGTGAGAATGCCAGACCAGGGAGGGGCCAGGTGGGGGGCGTGGGCAGGTTCTGGGCCAGAATTTGTCGAGTGGAGGGTCCCAAGAAAGTAGTTCTCTCGGGGTGAGAATGCCCGACGGGGCGAAAAATTGTCGGGTGTGGTATCCAGCTCAGAAGGATATCGCACACGCCTCTGGGGTCGGCGGATAAACCTCAGAAGAGGGAGAAGGGGGCCGGGTTTCAGAAGAAAGAAAAAGGGGCCCGTCAGGGCCCATGGGCGGGCGCCGCGCGCGCCCACGCCCGCGGGCGTCAGGCAGCGCGGCACGGCGCACGGCCAGGCCGACGGCCTCTTCGTGGGCCGGCGGCCGCGCGGTGGCGGCTGGGCTCCCTTCGGCGCGGCGCGCTGAGCCCAGCCGCCGTGGGGGCGGCTTCGGGGGGCAGGCTGCCCCCCGCAGTGGCGACCTCCACCCTTCGGCGCAGCGCGCTGTGGAGGCTCGCCGAGCCACTCATGGGCTCCAGCAGGCCAGCACTGGCGGCTGCTCTCTCCTCATCGTGCCGACTAGGGCCAGCTGGCCTCGGCCCCTCGCATGCCACGCGAGGGCGACGGGGATGCACCCTTCGGCGCCTCGCGCTGTATATCCCACGCCGAGGGGCAGGCTGCCCCTTCTCTTCTGGTAGACTCTGATGTTCTCGAGCCTGCAGTACTGCTTGGCTCTGTAGTGCTCGAACTTGTGCCCCTCGTCCCAGTCGTGCTGGTCGAGGTGGTACTCCTGCGTATGCCATGCCCAATCATGGTACTCGACCAACCGTAGTATATCCAATGCCCTCAATCATGTAGCCCCCGACGCTACAGTACAGGTAGGCGCTGATGTAGAGGAGTGGTTGTGGTGTGGCGGTCGTTTGTTTGTTGGCTGAGTGTGGGTTGTCGAGCGTGCTGGTTGGGTCGTTGGGAAGTCGGCTCGTTGCTGGTGTTGTGTTGATGGTAGTGGGCGCCCATGGCCTCCATGCGCCGACTTCAAGTGGGGGTCTTGGCTGTCCCACCTCGTCCCGCTATGGCTAGGGGTCACTGTGCCCTCGGTGGGGGCGAACCCCAGGCCTGGTACTTATTATTGTCGGGATGGGATGTCTCGGCTGTCCTATGCTTCGCCCTCGGGCGCTCGGGTAGCTCCTCCTTCTCCATGGGGATGGTGGGGGTGGCGAGCTAGGGCGGACCGCGGGGGCGCGGGTAGTGGCCGTCCTACCCCCCCCCTGCCCGTCACCATCCCCCCTGGTGGGCGCGGGAAGTACTCGTCCTTCCCCCCCGCCCATCGAGCCCGTCTCGAAGTTTGATCCATGCCTCACCAGGGCAGCGTTGACTTGACAAAAGGTGTGCAGGGCCGTGCTGGGTATGATGTCGGTGTCGGTCAGTAGTGCGGCGGCGTCGTGTGAATCGCCCGCTTCCAGCCAGCTGGTGTCCTCCGAGTTGTATGTGACCAGTCACCGCCAGGATACCCACAGCAAAACGTAGCGACTGTGCCTGGGGTGTTCCCTCGCATTCGGGGCTTCCCCAGGACTTGCGTCCTAACCCAAGCAAAACTTGGCGACG